TAAGAACCACACCATACACCGACACTCTTGCAATAGACATATCAAGTAAATAAAAGGGGACTGGCTATTCACAAACTTTTCGACACCGCCCACTCGCTGTGATAAACTGGAAGTTGTTACTAATTAATTAGACATTTCACCACTGTGTTTATTTGTTGCATTTAATGGAATTTTTCTTTCAGCAAGGGAATTTTGATGAGTCTTTAATTACTATATGAATTATTAATTATAATTAATGATGATATTATAGAGTTATTTACCAATATAAAACATATTGCGTTGAATATTGTTCGATATTCAGATACTAATGGAATGGAATGGGGGGGGGGGCGGAGAAATGGGGTTTAACGTTCACTCGACACAAACTAGGTAATTTCTGGGCTAACATATGGTTCAATTTTATTTCAATAATTCGCTTGAGAGGAAGGAGAAACCCAGGTGATCTCACTCCTTGTCACGTACAAGAGGGGATTCGAAACCACACCACCCAAACCCCCTAGAAATGGAATGGGATTTAACGCCCTACTGTTCCGCGCCAACCGGGATAATGAAAACGCCATGCAATGTGTAATGAGGGAACTTTTGCTCGAATAATATCGGCTGACACAAGGATGAAACCAGAGATCCGCGTGTTAGCGAGCCATCCCTTTATACACTGTGTCACCACGCCAGTTGAGTCAATGACAGACCTTATGATACAGCGCGCACGCGCTAACCATTCGGTCATCCAATCCTCCTCATAATGTGAATGGTAACATTAAAACGATTAGCACACATATGAGGAAACAACAAAGGCCAAAAAAAAATAATACCTTGAGTAGTTTTCACTATAATAGTTAAAAACTAGATAATGTAAAGGAAATTTGCTGAAAATTTCAAATTGTTCCACTCTGAACCGAGAATTTAGCGATTGAATTTTAGGCATAGACTTGATCATCATAACTAATGTCGGTACGATACAAAACATAGTCTCGATTATCCATTTTGTGATTTATTCACCAATAAGCGTTGAGCAGCAGATTGGATTCCAATCCAGTAAATATCGCAGGCTCGCGATGACATCGAGGGTTGATTATGATCTGGATAAGTTAATTAATGTCTAATTAATAATTTTGATAACATTTCAGGCCTAAAGTGAGGTCTGCAGTAGGCAAATTTAGCTCTCGTATAATGTATCTTTAATTACCTAATGTTCTAGCTTTACTTCAATTAATGTTCCGGACATTAGGGAGAAGGGTTTAATATAGGCTATGCCTGTTCCCCAATCCCTATTCAGATAGAAATCTGAATAAAAATATTGCTTATAAAAAAAAAAATGTTCCGGACGATAATCCCGATTCAAGAATCTGTAAATACTGAAATAACATGTGTTAGAATCTTTCCCGCAGAAAACCTCGTCAAGACCGATTTATAGGATTGTATCCCCTTTTGTGTGTGTGTGTGAGAGAGAGAGAGAGAAAGAGAGAGAGAGAGAGAGATAACATTATTTAACGTCCGCTTCCATAGAATTGATATCGCCGAGAATCTCATTTCGTGTCACACAGACTGTCTGTGATATCACTTCGGTGGAAGCGGACGTTAAATAAAGCTTTAATTGTGTCACACAACGTTCTTTATATCTGTTGTTGTTCATAATCGGGTTCATGTTTAAAGCGTTACACCATCGTACCCTATTACTAAACAATCTGTATTATTATTATGCAAACATATAAACCTACTTATATTACAAAAGATCAGTCTGGTCGAATATTACAAATCATTCAAGTAATACACTACAAGAAAATATCATGTACACAAATTTGTAAAATATAGTCTTAACCGTAAAACATGCTTATAAATTTTAAATAATACAGTACATTCGTTCCGTCAGCGATTTGTATTTATAGACGGTACGTAACACATCGGAGATACAGGGGCTAGTAAATAGTATACTCACATACCTATAGGGCGAATGAAGAGACAGACTGATAATCCAAATTCCACATCGACTCAAACTTAATACATAATGGTTATATCAACTTGTAAAGCCTTCTAACAATACGACTAGGGTAAAACGTATATCACATACTTTGAAAGACGAACACATTTCCACCCGGTCTTAGATAAAGTCAAACGTTACGGTTGAGTGGTTGAGGGGACCTTCAGGCTATACCGTATACGTACCTTTTGTAAAATCTAGATCACCGACATATCTGATTTTATTAATACATACATGTCATTTATTAACACACACGTCATTTACAGATTAATAGCTATCGATGTATACAAACTCATGTATACTTACAAAATACGAATTGAAATAAAATAGGGTTTAACGTCCTACTTTTCTATACCAACAGGGCTAATGCCGACATACTTCATGTAGTGTGCCATGAAGGAAACAAACACAGCCCGTCGACACGCTCACGTGTAGACGGGGTCACGATTTTGTTTCTTGTCAGGCCCTCTGTTCCTCCACCACTGACAAGAGGTAACTACATAGGAAAATCCAGATAACAATTCTCGGCCAACACCGGGCTCGGGCCCGAGGCAACCTGCGCCAAAATAAACGAGCCACGAATTGCCACTATAAATCGCGTGTGAATTTATTATACGAAGACAATAAGCTCTAAGGATTACACGGAATTCCCAGATAGATTAATACATGTACACGTACGTTTTGTTTAAGTGGGGTCGTTGTTGGCCATATTCTACATATCGTGTTCAATGGATACCGAATTTTCAATTCATCATATAGCCTACTGAATCGGGTTTGGACTGATTTTCAGTAAAGATTCAACTTTCACAATATTATAGGAGAGAGAGAGAGAGAGAGAGAGAAAGAGAAAGAGAGAGAGAGAGGGTGGGGGTTTAACGTCAAACTAAGTAATTTTGGGACTAATTTATGGTTCGATCTTATTTCAATATTTCGCTCTCGCGTAGGGTCTTTAGCAGTAGGAGAAAGCCCAGGGGGTTGGGACAAGCGACCTTACTCCTTGTCACGTACAATCGGTGAATCGAAACCACACCACTTGACTCAGTGACAGACCTCCTGATCCAACGCGCACGACTCCCCCCCCCCCCACACACACACACCATCAGAGACATTAACTTAAACGTTCTGACAATTTAAATTCCGTTGCATACAAGGTGTGTTGTGTTGTTTGTATTGTTTAACAACCTTTTAGTAATTCAACACATTACAAATAAATCACTACAGTTTTTTTTGAAAGCGACTACGGGATTTTAGTTAGAGATATCGTGAAAAATGTATGTTGCATGGAATACTACGGGTTGTTTTGATGAGAGGTCGTACTGAAAAATAACCAAAATAGTTCTATGAAAAGCAATTACTGTATTTATTTTTAAAACCTGGGCTACGTTTCAAGAAAACGGCAAGCGAAGCATTGTTGAAAGAACGAAGCTTCGATTATAATAATTAATGTCTTCCACATAACTGTTGTGATTTCTCTACGACCTTCAGAGATGATAGATGTCCAATATGTTATTTGGTTTGTCTATAATCGGCTTAGCCAATGTCCATAAACAGATTATATCTAGTGAACATATTTTATTAATTTGCAATCAGAAAACAAATCATAACATGAATGTTTTCCGGCGTGGTTTCCCCTTGTCTGTGATGTAGGATGGAGGACCTGACAAGGACAGCTGTCTAGTCGTTCGGATGGGACGAAAAACCGAGGTCCCGTGTACACATTGGCGAGCACGTAAAAGATCCCTTGGCAGTTGGAATTCGATATAAGAGTAGGCTGTAGCGCCGCTGCCCGGGCAAAATTCCCCTCATAGCACAATGTATGGCGTATGCCCGTCTTCATTAGCCCAGGTTAGGAACAGAACAGTAGGACGTTAAACCCCATTTCATTTCATTTCATAACATGAATGACCATACCATTTCTCCTATCTCTAATTATATTCATTATTGTGGTTGCTCTCGACATTTCTGCTTAGTATAAACAGTCCCTATTTTAGTTACCAACTTTATAGAAATCGCATTTTCCATCAATGAATTTGATATATTTGACAGGTTTTATGATACAATAATATATAATGTATTTACGCCATGTAAAGTATTGAGAGAGGGCGAGAGATTCTCTAATAATAATTCATGTGAAAACTGTAGTTATAACGTCGCTGATCAGAATAAAGTAATTTGAATGAAATTTTCAAAATATATTTAGTTTGAATTATCTACATTGGAACTATTATAACAAGAAAAGCCAGCTCTTTATCTGAATCTTACATAATTCATCTTTAAGCGGATTGGATGACAAAGATATTAACCCATATCATTTGGTGGCATTGTTTGGATCCGAGTCTTGCTCTGTAATGCGTAGGTGTTAACTCTCTCTCTCTCTCTCTCTCTCTCTCTCGGGGGGTTGGATGGCCGAATGGTTAGCACGCGCGCGCTGTATCATACGGTCTGTCATTGAGTCAACTGGCGGGGTTTCGATTCCCCGGTTGTACGTGACAAGGCTTAGGGTCGCCTGTCCAACCTCGTGGGTTTTCTCCGGGTCCTCCGGTTTCCTCCCACAGCTAAAGACCCCTACGCACAAACGAATTATTGAAATAAAATTGAACCATGTGTTAGTCCCGAAATAAACTAGTTTTGTCGAGTGGACGTTAAACCCCATTTATCTCTCTCTCTCTGTCTCTCCCTCTCTCTCTCTGTGGTTGGGCGGCCGAATGGTTAGCGCGAGCGCGCTGCATCATTTGGTCTGTTATTGAATCAACTGGCAAGGAGTGTGTCGCCTGTCCAACCTCGTGGTTTCCTCCCACTGCTAAACGCATCTTTAACACATGTTAAAGCTATCTGTTACCGATCGCATCTATCGTGATAACAGACATAATTGCCTATGTCAAATACAATATTCTATAGATCAGTGTAAGAAATAGTTCAGTGCCTTATAATCCTGGATTCTAATGGCGTTTGAGGATATAAGGGAGGTAAGTACCATTTGTTTATGTCGGAATCAGACTAGTAATTCTCCCCCATTTACTTCAATTTTAAATCCATAACATTTCATGATCTATAACATTTGATTGAAACATTGCTGTGATCTTAAACCTTATACCACAAAAAAACACCATATCACGATCCTCTGTAAAAAATAATAATGAGGGAGGTGGGGTCTGATCTGTGACGTCATTTCAGTAGCTAAATTCCGTATTCATTAAAACATGGAAAATGGAAATTCAAACACCTTTCTTTGATTGTAGACAAATAAGTCACTATAGATAGTGATTTCAGGGAATCAATTACATAATCAAAAAGAAAATTGGCATTTGGTATTATGATGATATTGAGAATAATGAATTTCTTATTTAGACGTCAGATATAAAGAGAAATATTAACAATCGACAGAGACATTATCTGATTTACATTCATCTGGATTTTTATCACACAACGCCTTTTGATTGGACGACTTGAGCCTACGTATGTAAGACTGTTTAACAGAATCGTCATGGCAACTGTTATACTGATAATCTGGGGTGTTATTTGCCGAGCCAATCTTGATATCAGGCACTGAAAATAACAAAACAAAATATTAGGTAACACCTTAACATTATTCTTCTTAAAGATACTTTATGGAATATTAGATAAAGAGCTGACAGTTCTCACAATAATAGTTAAAAACTAGATAATGAAAAAAAGGGAATATTCTGAAAATTTCAGTCAAATTGCTCCACCCTGGACCAAGATATTAGCGTTTGAATTTTAGGCCTATATTCGACCATCATTACTAAAGCCGGTACGATAAAAAAAAAACATAGTCTCGATTATCCATTTCTGAATTAAATCATCCATGAGCCTTGAGCAGCAAATCGGATTCAAATCCAGTGAAAATCCGACACATAAGATGGCATCGAGAGTTGATTAAGATCTTTTCATGTTAATAAATATCTAATTAATAGTTTATATAACATTTCAGGCCCAAAGAAAGACCTGCAATAGGCAGAATTAGTTCTTGCATAATGTATGTTTAATATCTTCAGGATGGGTATGTACACTGAATGGACATTATTACCTAACAAAATAAAATCGGAATGGTGAATTTCTTTCCACGAAACTGTACAAAGCTGTCCATGGCTAAAGGTAGATAACAACGACAATAACCAAATCAAAAAGGGAAATCTATGAACACTAATAAATTAGATCCCATAATCCTTGAATGGCATTTAGCGATTGAACATAATATACACAACACGGTTCTATGGATCCTACGAGATGAGTACGTACTAACGTATACAATAATAAATGCCCTTACGTGTACAATTTGGTAAAGGTCCCGATGGTAACCAGTTGCCTGTTGCTCCGCAAACATACCATTGTTGTGGAGAATATGAACCCAATTGAAGAGTAAATTCTTTATCACAGTAAACTAAACAAACTCTAGCATATTCTGTCTTCCATCCATTACATACACGAGCACCATTAATTGGTATGTTTAGTTCAGGACACGGATTAGCTAGAATATATCAAATAGATTTAATTAACACCATTACAAAAACATTAGTCGGTATGTTTAATTCTGGACAAGGATGAGCTAGCTAGAATATGATATAGAATTAACATCTTGAGCATTCAGGACAGGGGTGGGCTAGAATATAAATATATTTTATTAACATCACTGATTCAGGAGATGGAATAGCGAGAACACAGAAGAAGATCCACTAGTCTTCTAATCATAGAAATTAAAACAGGCGAAATATCAATATAGAATATGGTCAGCCAGTCACATATTGTAAGCATTGTGGCATGTGTTCTATGTATTTGGTTTCAATGGTGATCAGTAATCACAGAAAACAGGACAGCATTACTTACGTCTGATTTGTACAGTAAATTTACATTCCGTTTGGAGTCCATTGAATGGTTTGGTAGCCACGTACTGAACAACATGGTCACCCCATGGTGCCACAACAAAGCCTTCTGGGTAATTAGTTACCATTCTGATTTCCTTATTCATGGGATCTGAGAATTGTGGGATAGACCACGTGACATTATGTGACGTTTCGTGGGTATGAATCAGTTGATCATCAGAACATCCGGTCATTACAGGGGGCTGAATATCTGAATCAAAAATATAAAACAATATATTTATCATATTAATGTTCCTTAGAGTAATATTAGGTATGGCGTGATACTGCACTAATCTGTCTTTTGTTTTCATATCTACGGGTATATTAACACAGCTATGAATTATAATTAAATCATCCCGTATTAATATTCCTTAGGGTAATATTAGGTATCACTAATTTGTCTTCTGTCTTTATAGACTGGACAACGAGAGCAAAAATCACAATTCTCCGCAATGATTTACGTTCCATACAAATCATACAATAATTTTCCGCAAAGGTTGTCTTTTCATACGAGGGACCTGCCATAGGGACATACCATAGAAACGGTGATTCGACTTCTGTCAGTAATTCAAAATCAACCAACGCTATAATTTCAACCCGATCTGACTGGTAAATCCCATCATTGCACACCACTACATTTGAACGAAACGAAGTGTTAAAATAAGTAAAAACTGTATACAGGTCAGTATTTGTTTCATCGTTCTATTCTAAAGAAAGGCAAACATTGTATATACATTTTATATTAATTGAACATTCTGTTAATCCGTGTTAATTTGACATTATTATTTGTATGTTAACAAAATTTGATTAACGACAAACAAAACCACAAACCATTTTCACAATTAATCCCACTCCAACCAGGGTTACATTGACATGTATAACTTTCTACACCATTTATACAGCTTCCTCCATTTTTACATGGATTACTGGAACATGTATTAACATCTAAAATTACAATAATATAAAAATTACCGGAACATGCATTAACATCTAAAATTATAGTAATATACCAGATAATGGAACATGTATTAACATCTAAAATTATAATAAATGGACACAGCTCATCAAATATTTCTACGAATGTAGATCGAAAATTATTTTAGTCTTTCCTTCCCTTTCCCCCCTTTTGTTGACGTTTTTGTGTAGAAAGGGTTTAAAAATACATTTTCTGCCAGGTTTTGGTGAATATTCATGAATTTGAGGCGGAAGGATACAAGAGTTGAGAAGTTGTTTAGGTTGAAATGTAGGGTCGAAAATTGCATGTTTACTCCCAGCTTGTGTATCTCAAGTTTTTCATGGTGAACCTCATGCATGCTTTTGGGCAAGAGTTTGCCACATGTTGCTCCATCTGTGGCAGAAAGCGTTCTACCCAACGAAAATTTTGGAAAAAATTAGAGCCGGTCTAAGAGACGAAAATTAACATTTATGTCAATGGGGAAATCAATAGTAGTCTGTGGCCAAGTACAAGTTACTGGAACATGTATAAATATTTAAAGATTACAATGATTACTATACTGGAACATATATTAACGTCTAAAATTGCAATAATAAATTAGTTAAAGGGATGTAAAATCATGATTATTATTAAATGAATAGTTAAGTTACTGGGATACGAATTAATATGGACAAATATAAAAATTGCTGCAGTATGAAACAGAAACACAAATTCAACAAATACAATTAGCGTTCTAATCGATATTTTTGGACACAGACTACCTCCAGTATTTGATCTGCAAACTCATTTTGTTGGCGTGACGTGGCGGAACATTTCGCTAAAGTTTACTCGCTTCTTTATATCCTGGCAATATGTAATGAAACCGCATTTGCTACCTTTACGTGCCGTTTATTCTGACTGTGTGTTTTGGCTGTGCAGTTGTGGGATGTTCTCTGAATTGTTTAACTTTAATTTTAATGATTAGCCTAAATAAGAAGTCTTACATTGACATCGTGCAGCGTCTCCACTCCAACCACCATTATTCTGACACGTTCTTCTGGACAAACCTGACGTCATATTATAATCATCATGGCAACTATATGTAATAGTGCTACCATAGGTTAAACTGCTGTATAACACTGTTCCATTGGCTGGTTTGGTGGGCGTGGCACAAGTGACAGCTTCAAAAATCAAATTATATAAACAACTGATGTTCTACGATGTTCTGTACGGGTCCGCTGTTTTTGTTAAAGATTCTTACCATAGTAAATCAACATATCTCTAATAAATGTATATTTATTTATAAAATTCTCTTAAAACAGTGCCCTGATTACTTATTTGATCTTTTACCTACTTATCAAACTCCTTACAATCATCTTAACAATAAACTTACTACTCTCATGCCAAAGCAGTATACGCTTTAAAGGGCCCAAACTCGGAAATTCGTTGCCAGCCTCTTTAAAAACTTTAAATAACTTGAATCTTTTCAGGAAAAAGCTTCTTAAACTACTTCAAATATCTTATCTTAAAAACCTATAAGCTTATCTCTTATGATATGTGTTCTCCATATTAAAAGCATGTACATATTGTATATTTGTTAATACATGTTATATCTATATGTATTCAAACGTTTTGTTATATGACCCGCATATACATGTATTTAAATTAATCTGTTAACTGATTTACTGATTTGTATATTTATTTTTTCCTCTATTGTAAATTATTGGGGTGTGTTGTTTAATTTATTAGCTATATCTTTTGTATTATATTTTCTACGAAGGGCAGGGTTTTAGAAAGGCTATTATAGCCTAATCTTCAACCCTTCTTAAATAAATCATTATTATATATATTATTATTATTAATAATAATAAAAATCACATCGAAAATAGCAGTGTGCATAGCGAGCTTTTACATACAGGTAGATTTTAGATTGTTAAAGGGCGCTTGAATGTGATAAACCTTTGGATTTATGCAATCTGTGTTGAATTGTATCAAAAAATATATCTTACTTTTGTCACAGCATCGACCATATTTGCCATCAACACATTTACAACCAGTATATGAAGATACGTATGTACCGCCATTGTAACAAAATTTGTTGCAGTCATCCCAATCGTGTCCTGAGCCAGGAGTAGCACAGTCAGTAAATTCCGTACACCCTTTTTTAACTGTATGTCGAACCAATCTGTCTCTGTAATGCCTACCATAACATTGTTTTGTACAAGAAGACCATGTGGACCATTCAAGAAATCGACAATTACAGAAATCCCACGTTGATGCTCGATCAGCAATGACACCTACACAAGTAACTACCAATAGTCCTAAAATTATCCACTTAACCATAATACTATGCCTAGAAATACATGTACATGTAGTTAATAGAATTACCATATTAGTGAAACGTGTTTCAGTGAAATTTCATTGTAGTTGACATTTCCGCAAACAGGTAGTACACGGTCACAATTATCCTGGATTTCATGAACAGGACAAGGCTGTGGTGAACAATTCGGTGGGGTGGGGCATATTTTGTTGGCGTTTGTATTTGGAAGTGGGTGTTTGCGAGGGGAACGGGGGTGGGGTGAAATAAAACAGGATTCTGTTAACTTACTTAGTAAACGCCCCCCCACCCCACAATCTTATTACAAGTTTGTGTGCATGGACGTGAATTAAGAAATGGGAGGGGTGGGTAAAAATAAAACAGGATTCTGTTAACTTATTTAGTAGACGGACATGGGTGTTTGCGAGGGGAACGGGGGTGGGGTGAAATAAAACAGGATTCTGTTAACTTACTTAGTAAACGCCCCCCCCCCACACTCTTATTACAAGTTTGTGTCCATGGACGTTAATTAAGAAATAGGAGGGGTGGGTAAAAATAAAACAGGATTCTGTTAACTTATTTAGTAGAGGGACATGCCTAGTCTCTTATTACGAGTCTGGGTACATGCACGCGAATGAAGAAATGGGAAAAGAATAGATGTGACTGCTCGTGATACATCAGCCAGAAGTTAAATGGAGATAATCAACTTTTTGAAATCTAATATATACTCTCAAAAAAGTAGGGGATATTCAGAAACAATACAAAACTGCGGAAATGCACTGCTGTTTTTATTAGAGATAACCAGTGCATGTTAATAACAGGCCAATTGCCTACACATGAACATAAACAGTTCATATGGTCGGCTTATCTGACGGCCCCATTTCACTCGCAAAGAGATACACTGTCAAAAGTGAAAATGGACGTTTTTGATTTTTGCCTTAACAATGAGTAATTGCTCCACCAATCCTCAGACATTCAGCAATTCGTCGTGGCATGCTCCTAATCAACCGTCCAATCACGATTTGGGGCAATCTGACCAACTCCTCTTGCAGTGCCACGTCCAATTCTTGGAGTATTGTCGGTTGACGTTGATGTCGACGAACACGTCTCCCGATCAAATTAAAAGTAACACAATAAAGTAAAGATACGCTAAACAGTAAATCGTATGCAAGAACCTATAGGAAAGCAAACATGGATAGGATAAACCAGCAAGCGGCAGTTTTCATCAACCCTTCCTTGAAGTGTCAAATTTGACAATGAACATACTCTCAACGCATGTCAAATGTCCATGACTATTTATCATATCACAACCTGCAAAGGTATTTGCATTTCAATATCCCCTACTTTTTTTGAAGAGTATAAAATATTCATTAATAAAGCTAACAACCAAAGACCACGCAATGCGCATAAAGCGCACGGTATCTTGACAGCATAACGAGTTACATATACTTTATGTACCAGCATGAATTCCTAGCTTAAGACATTCCCATGATTCTAATAATAGTTATATTTTGTAAGAGGTTGTCCTTGCCCCCCCCCCCCCCCGTCTTCATTAGCCCTGCTGGAGCAGAACTGTAGGCCGTTAAACCTCATTTCATTTCATTTCCCTGGGCTCCTTGACATACAGTGTCAGTATCCGATTGTATCAGAAATAAATATGTAATTTATGTTTGTGGCAAATACATCCATCTACTGTACTGACAATATCAAGAAAAAAGGAAAGTGTTTTGATACATAAAATATACAAATTACTTACTGTCTGTACCTATGACTCCCTTCGTTGTATTTCTTCTTATCAAATTTAACGAACTTCCTGCTTAGAAATAATACGCGTTTGTGAATTGGGGATTCCCCAGCATAAAATGTATGTTCCTATAGCATTCAACCAATAGACTTTGACCTGTGATTAAAATCCCATAGTAGTCATTCTATAGACATAATAGTGTTATAACACATAACGACGGCCTATATCTAACCTTTTAAATCAACAAACTTCGACGTTCGAATAAAGCACTATTTTAGTTACCCGCGTCTTTTAAGTATAGTTTAATGGTTGAGTGCGAGACATTAAATAATATATTGATATTGCACGAGGGCTATATCTATATATTACGCAATGTCTTACGCGGGACGGGGATCACGTGGCTAAGTGGGTAAGACGCTAGCTCGCTAGCCTGGAGGTCGGGTGTTCGATCCCTGCATTGGCCGAGAAAGTTCATTCAGATTTTCCGGCGTGGTTCTCCCTTGTCAGTGATGCAGGACGGAGGGGCTGACAAGGAAAGCTGTCTAGTCGTTCGGATGGGACGAAAAACCGAGGTCCCGTGTACACATTGGCGTGCACGTAAAAGATCCCTTGACAGTTGGAATTCGATATAAGAGTAGGCCGTAGTGCCGCTGTCCGGGCAAAATTTCCCTCATAGCACACTGTATGGCGTATGCCCGTCTTCATTAGCCCAGGTTAGGAGCAGAACAGTAGGACGTTAAACCCCATTTCATTTCATTTCATTTCTTACGCGGGACCATTAAACAACTACAAATACAGACACTAATCAGCACGTGCATTTCAATGAAATACGTCATTGCCCGTACCATTATTTGAACTAATGGTACGCCAACATCAAAGGATGACCTCACATCTTTATTTTAAATATAACTAATAATATTATACACAGCACACTCATATCAAGAAATTCAATCACCAGGGTGAACTCGATTTTCCGTCCTTTCCAAACAACTGACTCGTACAATTTAACAAACACTTTAAACAGGTGGGAGACAGCAAGTGTAGATAAATTTTACAATTTATGATAACAGTATAACAATTCATTTCTTTACATTTCCAATTTTCGATGTGATAATGCGACATCAATATACTGGGATACAGATTTTAATAATCCAATGTCAATTGACGTGCAGATTTTAATTAGTGCCGCTGAATACACAGTGTTTATATAAAGTATCTGGAATGTACAGATATCGTATATTGCTCACTCACATGAACAGAAAGTGATAAAGGGTTTCAACTTTCTCAGTCAATGCAGGGATCGAACACCGCTAGCCTGGAGGTCGGGTGTTCGATCCCTGCATTGGCCGAGAAAGTTCATCTGGATTTTCCGACGTGGTTTCCCCTTGTCAGTGGTGCAGAACGGAGGGCCTGACAAGGACAGCTGTCTAGTCTTTCCGATGAGACGAAAGACCGAGGTCCCGTGTATACATTGGAATGCACGTAAAAGATCCCCTAACAGTTGGAATTCGATATAAGAGTAGGCGATAGTGCCGCTGCCCGGGCAAAATTTTCCTCATAGCACACTGTATGGCGTATGCCCGTCTTCATTTACACAGAGGACAAGCCGGGTCAATATCAGGATTCTTCTGCATAGAATTGAATTCAATGGTAACAAATTTAACCTGAGTCGAGTGATGTTTCGTTTAAAGTGTATATCAAGACTATAATCTAGATATTGTTCTTGACAAATGTTTAGGGATTCTAAGGTCGTTTGAAGATACAAGGGGGGTAACTTGCATTTGTTCATGTTCGGCTCAGACCGGTAATTCTATCACTCCAATGCTAAATCAATAACATTTCTTGGCATATAACAATGGTTTTAACATTCCTGCGAGCTTAATCTCTATAACCACAAAAATCCCAACATGTTGCTATGTCTTGGACCAGTCAATCGAATATAAATATACAGGTCCCAATTCTATGGAATACAATTACTGCTTATTACTGAGCGACGTTTGAACCAGACTTCTCTAGTCAATATCAAGCAATGATAAAATATGAAAATATAAATCTGTGACTTAATATAATTTCTATAATTCTTATTTGTTAACTTCTTGATACTTACTCCTCAAAATCACAAATATCAAATGGAAACTCAAACACTCTTCTTAGATTCTCGACCAAATAGTCAAGAATATCCGTCATACAAAAGGCGGGGGGGGGGGGATAACAATGGAAAGCACATTCGTGATATCAGGGGAAGCAATTACCAGTCTCGTCCTGGTAGCGACTTGGTGAATTGAAAATAAAACTGTCATTTGGTATTGTGAGTATATTGTCAATAATGAATAAAATATAGCAATCGAATTTCTCCAGATCTAGTGAGAGTTATTAACAATCGACGGAGACATTATCTGATTTACATTCATCCGGATTTTTATCACACAACGCCTTTTGATTGGACGACTTGAGCCTACGTATGTAAGACTGTTTAACAGAATCGTCATGGCAACTGGTATACTGATAATCTGGTGAATCATTTCCTGAGCCAATCTTGATATCAGGCACTGAAAATAACAAAACAAAACATTAGGCAACACCTTAATAGTATTCTTCTTAATATCTTCAAGGTGGGTATGTACATTGGATGGACATAGTATCTAATTTGGTGACCAAATAGGGATGAAAATATAAAAAATAAAATCGAAACAAATTTCAGGACATTAATGCACAACTGGTGCTTTGTTTTCCACGAATCTGCACAGAGATTAATTAGCTGTCCATGGCTAAAGGTAGATAACAACGATAATGAACAACTCATAAATGGAATCTATGGATAATTATGAATTGAATCCCACGAGAGGAGTACTAATTTATAAAATACTAAAGACCCTTACATGTACAGTTTGGTAACGGTGCCGATGGTAACCATTTACCACTGGCTCCACAAACATACCAATGTTGTACAGAATATGAACCCAATTGAAGAGTAAATTCTTTATCACAGTAAACTAAACAAACTCTAGCATATTCTGTCTTCCATCCATTACATACACGAGCACCATTAATTGGTATGTTTAGTTCAGGACATGGGTAAGCTAAAATATAAAATATGGATTTACCAAAACATTAGTCGGTATGTTTAATTCTGGACAGGGATGAGCCAGAATATGATATAGATTTAACACCTTTAGTTGGTATATTTAATTAAGGACAGGGATGAACTAGAATATATATATAGATTTTATTAACATTAGCGAAAATATAGAATGGGGTCCACTAGTCTTCTAAACATAGAAATTCAAACAGGTGAAACATATTAACATCAATATAACTAATATAGTGGGGCGGATATGTAACATTTTTTGGTCGAGTTGTGCACTTCCGGAAATAAGCATGAAAATTTGACCATGGGGTTTTTGGGGTATGCTGATTTCAAAAATGGCGATAACCACGACGTCACTCCAGCTATTCCCGCCAAAAATTGAGAAATTCAAAATGGCCGCCATAAAACACGTTCTCGTCTATAAAATTTATGTAAATGCACCGATTTTAATGATCTTGATGTCTATACCTATGTTTTTGAGGTCAAGGAATCCAGTAAAACACATACGAAGACTCATAATGTTCTCCTTCATATTGTGTTCTAAAAATGGTCATAATTCTAATCGAACGGATGTATTATTTGCACCTTCTTCTTTGCTAAACGGATGTCAAGAAATTATTATGTTCCATTTCAGTGGAAACTAGATATTACTCATCAAACAGTCCACATTTCATGTCAATCACCATTTTATGTATGTACACGATAGTGTTGTAAAAATATTCAGTAAACGTCTGAACTTTCTTCATACATCCGATGTATTCAGTGAAAATACATTTAACAGTTTCCTTCTATTTTTCAGAAACAAGTGATGGCCACCTAGTCAATCACCTACCATGTCCAAAAGACTTAAACCGCTCCTAGGGCATGTGCTACAGTTACATCTGTTCAACCTACGAACTGGGAAATTTATGCTCTGTGTCAAGAACATGGTGGAACACCCATAAACCCATCAGCAGTAGGTTATTCGTCTCTGGCCACTAATTTATCCGTCTTTCAGGAATTGACCAAAGTGCCCTTACATATCCCGACTAGATGATGGTGATAGCATGGAAGCTGCAAGAAAAGGCTTGTATGAACACGACCCAATCACCGCATAAAAAACACCTTCGTAGTTCAACCACTTCACCATCCAACTCCCCTATCCGTTTAGCAAAATTATGAATATTTAAAAAAAAAAACTGAGAATGGAGAACATTATGAGTCTTCGTATGTGTTTTACTGGATTCCTTGACCTCAAAAACATAGGTATAGATATCAAGATCATTGAAATCGGTGCACTTTAATCGGCGGCCATTTTAAATTTCTCAATTTTTGGCGGGAACGGCTGGAGTGACGTCATGGTTCCTGCAATTTTTGAAATCAGCATACCTCAAAACCCCATGGCCAAATTTTCATGTTTCTTTCCGGAAGTGCACGCTCATTTCACATATCCGCCCAACTAATATGGTCAGCTAGTCAAAAGTTTTAACATGAATTGTTTGCTAAAGAAACGTCAACAAGTGTTCCCATACGACAATTAATAGCTCTCACATATTATAAGCATAATGGCATGTACGTGTTCTTTGTATTTGGTTCCAAGAGTGATCAGTAATCACAGAAATCAGGACAGCATTACTTACATCTGATTTGTACAGTAAATTTACATTCCGTTTGGAGTCCGTTGAACGGTTTGGTAGCCACATACTGAACAACATGATCACCCCATGGTGCCACAACAAAGCCTTCTGGGTAATTAGTTACTATTGTGATTTCCTTATTCATTGGATCTGAGAATTGTGGGATGGACCACGTGACATTATGTGACGTCTCGTTGGTATGAATCAGTTGATCTTCAGAACATCCGGTCATTACAGGGGGCTGAATATCTGAATCAAAAATGTAAAACAATATATTTATCATCCAATTAGTTCACATAGACTCACAATATCAGAAGACACATCCCAAATTTAAAAGAAAACACATTTAAAATCAAGTACAATTATTTCTGATCATTACAGGGTGTGTGTGTGTGGAGGGGGGGGGTATCTACGAGAATAATAACACTACTATGAGTTATAATTAAATCCGCCCCAGTTAATGTTCCTTGGGGTAATGTATCACTAATTTTCCGCAAGGGTTGTCTTCGCATACAAGTGACCTGTCATTCAAAAAAGATTATTTTCCCACGCAGCGACATCTAGAAACGATGACTCGACTTTTGTCAGTAATGCAAAATCAACCAAAGGAATAATTTCAACCCGATCTGTCCGGTAAATCACAATATTGACCACCACTACATTGGAACGCAACGAAGTGCTAATAAATAAGGATAACTTTAAACAAACACAAACATTGAAAGAAAACCACGAACCATTTTCACAGTTAATTCCACTCCAACCAGGTTGACATTGACATGTATAACTTTCTACACCATTTATACAGCTTCCTCCATTTTTACATGGATTACTGGAACATGTATTAACATCTAAAATTACAATAGTATAAAAATTACTGGGACATGTATTAACATCTAAAATTACAATAACATACAAGTTACTGGAACGTGGATTAACATCTAAACTTATAAGTAACTGGAACATGTATTAACATCTAAAAATTACAGTAATATATAAGTTACTAGAACATGTATTAACATCTAAAATTATAATTAATATAAGGTACTGGAACATGTATTTACATCTAAAATTACAATAATATACAAGATAATGGAACATGTATAAATATCTAAAATTACATTATTGGTTGTTCTGTCTGTGTTCTGTTGTGCAGTTGAGTGGAAATTAACACACTTTCTCTCGTGGATCTTTAAACAAGCGTCTAGCTTACATCTGTATAATCAGTATTCATGTCGGTGTGCGCTTTAGGTCATAAGATTTGTCATTGAGTCAAGTGGTTTCGATTTCACACTTGTACCTGACAATGAGTAAAGTCACCTGTCAAACCTCGGATTTTATCCAGGTTCCCCAGTAACTCACGACTGCTAAAGACCCCTTTACCATAATGTTGGTCCCGAATCTCTCTCTCTCTCTCTTTCTCTCTCTCTCTTAAATTTTAATCATAAACCTAATATACGAAGTCTTACATTGGCATCGTGCAGCGTCACCACTCCAGCCACCATTGGCCTGGCATGTTCTTCTGGAAACTCCTGACGTCATATTATAATCACGACGGCAACTATATGTAATAGTGCTTCCATAGGTTAAACTGTTGTACAACACTTCTCCATTGACGGGTTTGGTGGGCGTGGCACAAGTAACAGCTTCGAATGGAAATTATATAAACAGGCATAAGGCAAGCAAGCCAACAACTGGGGTTTCAAAAGGTTCTGTACGTAGTCCGCTATTATCTATTGTTAGTTTAAACAGCATTATACTAATTATAGTAATTCTATGTATTAAATTAAAAATAGCAGTGGACATAGCGAGCTATTGCAGACCACTGTATTATGTAGTTTTTCGAATGTTTCAACGTTTTATAAACCGTTGGATTTATTCGACATGGCCAACAGTTGGTGTTTCCCAAGGTTTAGTATGCGATCCGCTTTTATTTATTGTTAGTATCAGAGACGGGATAGTAGTGCTGGGTACTCAATTTGAAATAATAGTGAGGGTATGAAATGAAACCAACTATTGGCAAAGTGAGTTTTTGTTTATTATATGTAGACTTGAGAATGTTACATAGCCCCTGAATGTGACAAACCTTTGGATTTATGCAATCTGAGTTGAATTGTATCAAAAAATATATCTTACTTTTATCACAGCATCGCCCATATTTGCCATCAACACATTTACAACCAGTATTTGAAGATACGTATGTACCACCATTGTAGCAAAACTTGTTGCAGTCATCATACTGGTGTCCCGAGCCAGGAGTACCACAGTCATAAAAATCGGTACATCCTTCTTTATTTGTGTGCCAAACACTTCTTTCTCTGCGGTGTCGACCGTAACATTGTTTCGTACAAGAAGACCATGCTGACCAATTATCCCATCGACAATTACAGAAATCCCATGTTGGTGCACGGTCATCGTTGACACCCACTACAACAATCACCAGTGCTGGTAGAAATATCCAGTTATTCATAGTCTAGAAATAAAATTGTTAGAGGTTATGAGTAGTATACTTGTCTTTTTCTAGGATACCTTTGAAATAAACTATAGAGTTCACTGGGTACCTGTACATCGAGGGATGGGGGATATAAATCCTGTGACTAAAATTCAAAATTATGTATTCATAATAGTTTGATTCTTTATTGTTTTACTTAGTGATTTAGCAATCGTTATGGCATCAAAACACGTATGTTTGTTTCCAGTACCAATACACTATAGTCGCCACATTTGAGTAAATCTGAGGAGTACAGTGACTACAACTTTGAGTTAACAATCTCCTAGAAATGAAACAAAAAAATCACAATGAAATAATAAAATGTGATTTCATATAATGTGCACTATTTCTTTTATAACTGAAATGAAATGGGGTTTAACGTCCTACTGTTTTGCTCCGAAACGAGCTAATGAAGACGGGCTTTTATAACTAAACTAAGCCCTGTGTTGGACATTTCTGCTATACATATAACCTCGGATATATACTCAATCATTGATGTCATTTACTCGCTTTCTGTGCAAACTTTCTTGCTAAACATATCTTACAATCCTCCGTGTAAAGGGTTCGTCATATTAAAACCCTGTGCCTAAATATATCTCAACCAAAAACACGTTATATTATTAATGACTAAGCCTATAAAGAATTGTATACACAAGCTAAAATATATTACACAAAGTCGACCTTTCAATGATTCAAGCAACACACAACATACATGCTGATATAATATTGTATTAAAATGTCTCTACCTTATCTAAAGCAATACATTAGTCTCAACATAAAACTGCTTACTTTGTGTGTGGCATTTTAAGAGATACTAGGGTAATACCCGTGACCTTAATTGTATGGAGGACGAGCTTTGCGTCATTGTTTTGAGTTTTTGCGTCCCCTTGAGTTTTTGTGCCCCCTCCCAAAAGGCAAAAACTCACGAGGGTTCAATGCGAGTTTCAACATAATAATCAAAATCATAATGCTTAACACACACACACATCTTGTTCCTCATGCAAAATCATGGGTCACCACGCCCCTGTATTGGGGACAGTTTGCCCGAAAGGCGGCATTAACCCTACTTTTTTAAAAGCGAACCAACGGGTACCGATCTGAACGACAGACCCACCCTACTCGTACGTTAATTACGTACGCAACGGGTACATGGGACCTCAGTGCCTTGCCATACCCACGTTCCTAAACCACTGACAACGACAAACCACGCTGGAAAATTGCGAGAACATTTTTCGGCTAAGACCGGGATCAAACCCCGGAACTCCCGTCAGTGAGTCAGGACCTTACCCAGGGGAACGCGGCAGGGCAAAGTGTCTAGGTCTAGATTAGATTTGAAATGGAACCAAACGCGTATAAAATATAATGGCTTCTTACCTTCTATTTACTTTATTCGTAGTCTTATCAAATGATATAAAACTTCCGTGTACATATGTAGGTATAAATTGGGGATTCCCCATCATAAATCTATACCCTAAAACTGTCAACCAACAGAGCGTGACCTTCGATTAGAAGGTGACTCCGAAATGCTATAATTATCGAGACGACATCTCGTTAATAATAATCACCATGGGAGCCACGGTGGTTAAGTGAGTAAGACGCCGGCTTGTTAGTCTGGGGGTTGCGGGTTCGCTCTCGCTGTTGGCCGAAAAAGTTCATCGGGATTCTCCGGCGTGGTTCCCCCCCTTGGTACATACAGGATGGAGGGCCTGACAAGGACAGCTACCTAATCGTTCGGATGGGACAAAAAAACCTTGGCAGCTGGAATTCAAAATAAGAGTAGGCCGTAGCGCCGCTGTCCGGGCAGAATTTCCCTCATAGCACACTGCATGGCGTATGTCCGTCTTCATTAGTCCAGTCGGAGCAGAACAGTAGGACGTTAAACCCCATTTCATTTCATTTATTGGAAAATTCCAACCATCTTAATCATCTGTTAAAAACATTGAAGGGTTGACCGTTTCGACTTTTTACGACACCCAGTCAAAGGGATATATAGACAGTGACGTCATTTTAGTATGTGATTCGAGTCAACAAATATACCATGCAAAGGGGAGGAGGAAGAAACATAGTTGCTATAAATTGTCCATTTGGTATAAAAACATCCGGGATCTTATCACACAGTGAAAACAAATCCCATTGTTTTTCGGGGGGGGGGGGGGTCTGAATATACTTGGACCCCTGTTACGATTACTCGATTCCCTTAGCGAAGAACGTAAATGGAAATAGGGTTCGCTCCAGTCTAGTGCTATACCAAAAGAATAAGACAAACAACAAGTTAAAAATTAATAAATTTTATCAGGAGGAAAACAATTAATTAATTGTAGGCCTATATATTATAGGTTCTACGGCAATAAATAAACAAATCGGCAATACCTAAACAAATCATCAAATTGCATAAATTATAAAATATTGGTATAGGCAATTATAGTAGTGAACACCAGATACTTTCTGTATTAAAATAATTAAAAATATGAAGCTGATCATTGACGTTACCGCCCTTTGCCCTAATTGTGGGATTGCATGTTTTTCCGTCCCAAAAGCCAAAAGTGACAAAATAGGGATTTTTCCCCAAAAAGTGAGGATTTACCCACCGAAATGCTATAATTATCCAGACGACACGACATCTCGTTAATAATAATCACCATGGGACCCACGGTGGCTAAGTGATTTAGACGCCGGCTTGTTAACCTGGAGGTTGCGGGTTCGCTCTCGCTGTTGGCCGAGAAAGTTCATCGGGATTCTCCGGCGTGGTTTTCCCCCTGTCAGTGGTACATGCAGGATGGAGGGCCTGACAAGGACAGCTGCCTAATCGTTCGGATGGGACAAAAAAAACTTGGCAGCTGGAATTAAAAATAAGAGTAGGCCGTAGCGCCGCTGTCCGGGCAGAATTGCCCTCAAAGCACACTGTATGGCGCATGCCCGTCTTCATTAGCCCAGTCGGAGCAGAGCCGTAGGACGTTAAACCCCATATCATTTCATTTATTGGAAAATTCCGACCATCTTAATCATCTGTTAAAAACATTGAAGGGTTGACCATTTCGACTTTTTACGACATCCAGTCAAAGCAATATACAGAAAGTGACTTCATTTTAGTATGTGATTCGAGTCAACAAATATACCATGCAAACGGGAGGAGGAGGAAGAAACGTAGTTGCTATAAATTGTCCATTTGGTATAAAAACATCCGGGATCTTATCACACAGTGAAAACAAATCCCATGGTTTTAGTGGAATCGGTTTTGTACAGTATTTATTACACACTGACAAACCTCATTTATGCAAAGTACGGGAACATGGAGATAATGTACAATTAATCTACACATTAATAACCGTTATACTATATACGACAAGATAAACCAGAGTAATGGTTTCCACGGGCATGGGCGTCACAAATGGGGGGGGGGGGGGTCCAATCCCCCCAATTGTTTTTCGGGGGGGGGGGGGGTCTGAATATACTTGGACCCCTGTTACGATTCCTCGATTCCCTTAGCGAAGAACGTAGATGGAAATAGGGTTCGCTCCAGTCTAGTGCTATACCAAAAGAATAAGACAAACAACAAGTTAAAAATTAATAAATTTTATTGGGAGGAAAACAATTAATTAATTGTAGGCCTATATATTATAGGTTCTACGGCAATATATAAACAAATCGGCAATACCTAAACAAATCATCAAATTGCATAAATTATAAAATATTGGTAGGCAATTATAGTAGTGAACACCAGATACTTTCTGTATTAAAATAATTAAAAATATGAAGCTGATCATTGACGTTACCGCCCTTTGCCCTAATTGTGGGATTGCATGTTTTTCCGTCCCAAAAGCCAAAAGTGACAAAATAGGGATTTTTCCCCAAAAAGTGGGGATTTACCCACTAACCCACTAATTGATAAAAATGGGGATTTTTCCCCCAAAATGGCAAAAGTGGGTATTTACCCACTAACCCAATAATTGATGAAATGGGGGTTTTTCCCCAGGAGTGATGAGAGTTAGGATTTTACTCAACTATTGATAAAAGCGGGGATTTACCCACTAATTGATGAAATTAATGGGGATTTTTCCCCAAAAATGATGAGTCGTGAGGTTATCTCACTAATGATAAGAGCTGAAATAGAACCTGTAAAATATACAAAAGGCAAGTAGATCTATATGTTGTTATTTAACGTTGTTGAATTCGGCTCTGGGAGGCCTCGAATTCCGGTCAAAATAAGGCCTACAAAAAGAGACAATCAATATTGACAAATTGACGGGGGAAACTGAGCCTAAGGCCTAGGCCTAACTTGCAAAAAAAAAGTTCTATAGTCCAGCTTAAATAATCGCCAGTCAGTGTTCTACCGTTTACCACGGGAATTAATAGGCTGCTATTGACCTAACAATAATGTATCCATGACTTTCTTTAAGGCAAAATGGGCCTAAAAAGTAGTAACCTTAGATTCGACTGCGCCCAGTGACTGCCAGAGCCCGAAGTGTCAAACCTAAGGCCTGTCGTCTGCTCTAATTAAACGCTCCGCCAATCAGAAGGATTGGAACGTCGGCTCGCGCTCACCAACCAATGAAATGACTTCGAAGGTTAGCGCGAGTACTACGGCCAATCACAGTGCCTGGAACAGACACTCGTGTAAAACGTCAGTCAAATGCCGGAGTTGGTGAATGAAGCTTGTCAGAATCCGAGACGATGAATATTTGAAAAATACGGGTGCAATTTGCATTGGTATGCTATCTTGCGTAAGTATTCCTATCGCCCTTGAGATGGGGCATATTAATACGAATTATTGACCAGGGTAGAACTAGTTCTCACGCGTTGACTTTGTGAAATCAAACGCACGCGGTCTGCCTCCATTTGACACTTCCAAACGGCTGACAATAAATGAGTAGATAAACTTTAAATAATATAGCAGGTTAATGTCATCTCTAATTCTATGACCTTTTGTAGACTTTGGCCGCGATATATATATAATAATGATACTACTAATAATATAACAATAATTATAGTTTTATTCTCGTGCAACTCGAGCAGGGAAGTTATCACAAACATGTCACAAAGTGATGCATCTTCTGTCTGATTCATCGTAAATTTTAAACGGATTTCTTCGATTATGAACAAACTACTTAACTTTGGTTATTATAAACTTACCTGTGTGTTTGTAATGAACTCCCGTTCGATAAAATCCATTGCACAACTAATTATCACAACGATGAGAACAATTTCTCTCTTGAAAAATTTGAAAATTTACTTGTAATAGTTGTAATTTCGACAGAGTCGATGTCAACAATGTCTTCGTGACGTATTGGTCGAATCCAATATACCTGTTGCGGGGGTTGGTTAACATTGAAAGATAGTTTGACAGCGCGATCATTTTGATCGTATATGGGTTTGGGCGACGAAAAATATCAATTGAAGGCAATTACATAGGAGATTTATATGGAAACCATTGATCGCCAGTCTATCAAATTTTCTTCACAATTAAAATATCACTGATTGCACGGATACTCGTAAAAATAAAGTCATGAATAAACTATAAATATCCTATCTTCTTTATGTTATAAATAATTTAACAAGGATCATGAAGCTTACCTCCGAATTCTTTGAGTGTATTTTTAATTTTATATATATACGCATTCTTTCGATCGAATAATAACCGCTTCAGTAACATCTTTAAGCGTGTTGCGGCAGCCCTCAGCGTGTCTATTGCCGTATTGGGTGCCCGGGTGGGTATATAATGCTACTAAGCCCGTATGACCCCGTAAGAAGCGGAACATTAATTCTCGATTCGACAGTTTTGACCGAAGTGTGATAAAGCCCGTAAAACGAATGTATAGTTGTGTTTGTGCGGCATGCGTGTTCAAAAGTAAATAATCCCATCCGAGTCGCTAATCAAATAATTAGAACAAAATATTTCAAAAAGTAAAGCTATAAAATTTGCAGAGATTTTACTAGAATGTAAAAGACGGTAACTAAATACAGGAATGCGGGTAGTTATGTGTGCGAACGCTCAAACTCAATGCCAATTGTCGTAGGTATCCAGACCACTCGGACCAAAGACTACTCGGACTAAGACCAGTCGGACCAAAACAAGACCAGTCGGACCAATTAAATTATATTATAAGGCTAGACAATATGCTATTTATTTATTATTAAATCTCAATACAAAGAAGCAAATAATTCTTATACGGAATTCTTATATTTAGAGTTGTTTGGTTCAATTTTGTGTACGTAAATAAATCAACGATTAGTTTTAAAATTAATTAATAATGGTGCCAAAAAAAAATATCAATCTAATTTTTCTTTACTCTTGCAATGAGACTCGGTATGTCCAGACTTTTGACAGTTTCTACATATACGGGTATACTGTTCTTGTCTGATAGCCTAATTTTACTTTTTCCACATTCGCGGTATCCCCAGTGGTTTCATTCCGTTCTACCCCACTAACCCCTGGGTTACTATATATGGGGGTGGGGGGGGGTGGGGGGTGGAGACACGTTTTCAAGTTATCCGCCCTTGATGCGTTAATATAAACAGCACATAATAATACGAAGACCGGACGTTTATATGCCCCTTTTTAAACGTGACTACAAGTGTGGTTCTCGATATTGTGCGATTTGGAATACAATTATCAATTTATTCAAACAACACGTTATTATTAGTTCGAGTAGTCATATTAAAACACACACAATTATCAATTTATTCAAATAACACTTTATTATTGGTTCGAGTAGTCATATTAAAATAAACACAATTATCAATTTATTAAAATAACACTTTATTATTGGTTCGAGTAATTATATTAAAACAAACGCAATTATCAATTTATTAAAACAACATTTTATTATTGGTCCGAGTCGTCTTTCTGTTGGGTCCGAATAGTCTTTTTGTATGGTCCGAGTAGTCTGTTTGGGCTGAGTGGTCTATCACTTGGTCCGACTGGTCTTGAACCGAGTGATCTTTGGTCCGAGTGGTCATGGATTCTTGTCGTAATTGTACTTGAATTTCCTATGCTGTCACCCCTAATACGAAATGATATCTTCCGCAGAGTGACGTAACCATCTTCCATATTGGTATTTTTCTCTGGGAAAAGTTTGTGATATTTCAATTTTTCAAGAGAGAACTTGTTTTCATCGTTGTGATAATTAGTTGTGCAATGGATTTTATCGAACGGGAGTTCATTACAAACACACAGGTAAGTTTATAATAACCAATGTTAAGTAGTTTGTTCATAATCGAAGAAATCCGTTTAAAATTTACGATGAATCAGACAGTAGCTATAACTAAATAGCTTATAAAAATAACAATACTGACTCTGGTGCATGCCACATATTAATGTTGACGTAATGATACTAAGTTAGCAATACTAAGTTAGGTCGATTCAGCTCTAATATTAGCTTTGCCTCCGCGCGTAACATTGGCCCTTCCCCTTCAAAACATTCGTCCCGAATGAGTAAATAAAAATAAACTCTTTTTTTTTTTAAAGGCAAAGCTATAGGAATGAGTATGTATATAGGCTACCTTGTTTATCAAAGGTCAGGTAATGTACGTACACGAGACTGGCAGGATAACATGAAAATTGGGCTAGGCAAACCCCTATAGGCCTACTTATTCTGCACTAAACAGTGACATTTGCCACTTAAATATTACACATATATGCAAGAAGTAAACATGCCTATTGCAGGTCTATATTTAGGCCTGAAAAGTTATATAAACTATTAATTACACACTTATTAACCAAACATTATCGCGATATTAACTAGATTAGAACGGTTCGCGAATACACCAGTGCACTAGTTACCACCATGCCCACATCCTGTCAAAACAACAAACAGTGATAATTTGGCTGATTGAATTATAAATTATTATAACAGGGATGATCAACTATTAAACACTCTTAACTAATGTTTCTTTGAATAATATATATATATATAACATTTATATATATATAAATCCATTTCTAATGGTAAAATCCTGCAAGCCGACCAGAAAGTTAGTGAACATGAAACAAGAACAATATAATAAAAGCAGCACTACTCTAACAGGAAGAAGTAGTTTTCATCATTCAAATACAGGAAGTCTTAAATCTCCTGCAATTTTTGATTTATGAATGATTGTAAACCAGTAATACCATAAAATTGTGCCTCAACAAGCAATTCATGTAACAATTGATAGCTATATGGCAATGCCATTTTGGATGCAGGGGCTCCAACATCCCCTCTTAAAAATGTTAGAATGGTATCAAAATGTTTTGGCGATCTATCTATAAAATAATAAGGAAGGCCACCTTTCTTTTCAGCCTTGATAGGGGCATCCTCCTTAGCCAAGTAAAAAAACAGAGTCTCCTGATGGGACCTCAAAGTGGCCATAGTGGTTTTAAATTCTGTTCCCCCCACATCTAAAATAACCATTCTGTGTTCATTATCTGCCATGTTCTTAAGTTGTTGTTTAATTTTCAGCACCAGACTGGATTCGGTCGAACTATTATTGTTATTAGAATTTGGAAACTCTGGTGGCCTCTCACTACCCCGCAGTGTTGCTATGGGTCCGTAAGACAGGGCCGACGATGAAGAGGATGAAGATGAAGATGAAACATTTCTCAAACGCTTACGATTAATGCGGATAGGAGACACAAAAAGTGGTTTGGCTAAGTTACTTGCAGTACTAGGGATTTCAGAATTTTGTGGAGGTACCACTTCACGCACTGCTGTCCCTCTGGCCTCTCGTCTTTCGGATTCGGACCTGGCTTGACGCCTAACATATTTAACCTCATTTTTCATGTTGGCCACAAAATCCTTATATTCGGCCTTCTCTTTCTCACCATATCTCATGTTGGCCCTTTTTACCCTCTCCATGGTGGCACGTGGACATCCAGGGTGTTTAATGTCCGGTCGGTTTGTAACATTCTTGCATTGACTACATTTGTATCCAAAACCAGAATGGCTACTGATGATGTGCCTCTCGCAATGGGAGAACCGCAGATATTCTCGGTTATCATTGCATATACTGCATTTATACCGTGTGACCTGTAATACATAATGAAAATGACCTTCGTTATTTAAAAAGTGATTGCTACAAAGGTTTGTTGGGGTTTTTTTTTTTTTTTTTTTTTTTTTTTTTTTTTTTTTTTTTTAATATAATATGCTTATTATTTAGTGCTTATTTCCCAATTGAGTAGATTGCCCACATATGGTTTTAACAAATTGTGATGGATAACCTTGGGTATAGAAGCCACAGACTTTCGAATTTTATAAAGTACGTCATTGATTGGTTTTAACACGACACAAGGACCCTCCCATGCAGGGCTTAATTTATTTCCTGCATCCTTACACCGGGCATTATAAATCCACACACGGTCTCCCGCCTTATATTGATTAACCAGAATATTTCTGTCATGGTTGCGTTTCATATTATCCGCTGATATCCTTAACCTTTTACGTGCGAATTCATGAATTGTTTTTAATCTTTCCGCCAACTGATATGCATATTTTTCCTTGTTTTGATTTATTTCAGGTAGAACTCTACCAAGAACAAGATCAACAGGTAGGTTTATTTTACGTCCTAAGACCATATGATTGGGACTAATGCCAGTAGACTCGTGTTCCGCTGAACGATAGGCAGTTAATAATAAACTTAAGTGGCTATCCCAGTTTTTTTTATTTTCAGCAATGAAACAAGATATCATGTTTTCAATTGTACGGTTTGCCCTCTCAATCATCCCATCTGATTGGGGTCTGTAGGCGGTAGTACGCGTTTTCGTAATACCCAATATTGTGCACATTTCCTTAACCACTTGTGACTCAAAATTTGATCCCTGATCGGAGTGGAGCTCCATAGGCACTCCGAAAATGCTAACCACCCGGTCTATAAATTTATTGGCTACAGTATGCGCTTTTTGGTCCTTCATTGGTACCGCATCGACACACTTAGTGAAATAATCAGCCATTACTAAAATAAACTTGTTTCCGTTTTCAGTCACAGGTAATGGTCCAATGACGTTTAGTGCCCACCGTTCCATTGGAACACCAACATTATATTTTTTTAATGGGGCTTTAGCAGTTTTAGTCTTGGATTTTCGAGCAGAACAATAATCACATGCTTTAACCCAGTGCTTGATGTCATTTCCCATATTATTTCACATAAATCTCTCCTTTATTTTGGACAGAGTTTTCTTTCTGCCTAAATGTGCCCCACCAACCCCATTGTGAAGGTGTTCAAGGACTACCTTCCTAAGGCTAACTGGCAAAATTATCTGAAAATGGGGTTGTCTCCCCTTATCTGGTTCCCACTCATAACAAAGGATATCCTTAAATACCAAAGAATCAAAGCGCATCCAGTAATATTTTGGACAAGGCATTCACAGACACGTCACACAGTGAAATTTGATTATCAGGATTGGCCTCACAGGTATAATTTTGCTCAGCCCGAGTACAGTGCCCACACTGTTCGATACATGGCCTCCGCGAAAGCGAATCTGCATTATTATGGGCACACCCTGCACGATATTCTGTTTTGAAATGATATGATAAGAACTCGAACCATCTAGCCAATTGACCTTCAGGATTTTTAAAATTGATAAGCCAGGTCAGGGCCCCGTGATCTGTGCGAACTCTGAAAAACTTCCCATACAAATAATGATGAAATTGTTTTATTGATAGCACAATAGCCAATAGCTCTCTTCTAGTCACACAATATTTGCGTTCAGTTCTACTCAATGCCTTACTATAATATGAAATAACTTTTTCAGTGCCACATTGAATCTGAGATAAAACAGCCCCAGCTCCAAAATTGGAAGCGTCGGAATCGATAATGAACAAGCCCTCTGGCTGGGGAAATGACAGAATCGGTGGACTGGTAAGTGCACCTTTTAGATTATCAAACGCTTTCTGACTATCTTCCCCCCAAACGAATTTCTGGGTTTTCTCGGTTAGTTTATGCAATGTTTTTGCTATGTCCGCCCGCAAATTTTGATACAAATTTTCTATAATAAGAACATAGCACCAAAAATGATCTAACTTCTTTCACTGAAGTAGGAATCAGCCAGTTTTGAACTGCATGAGTTTTCTCAGGATCGGTGGCTATGCCATGTTCACTGACCACATGACCCAGAAAAGACACCTCTTTCTTCAACATTGCACACTTATTGGGGTTCATTTTTAAATTGGCTTCTCTTAATCTTTGAAATACTAGGTTCAAGTTTTCCATATGTCCCTCAAATGTTTTCGCGAATACAATAATGTCATCGAGATAGACCATGCAAATTTTCTATGTTAGTTTAGATAAAACTTTATCCATGAGACGAACAAAAGTGCTCGCGGCATTACATAATCCCATCGCCATGCGATTGAAATGATATAAACCACCGCCTTGAATTGCGAAGGCCGTTTTTGGTCGATCTTTCTCAGCTATTTTTAACTGCCAATACCCTGAACGCAAATCAATGGTGGAAAAAATTGAATTTCCAGATAGAGCGTCTAGTGTTGTATCTATTCTAGGTATTGGATGGCTACACTTCAATGTCACCTCATTCAATCGACGGAAATCCAAACAAAAACGCAGACTGTTGTCTTTCTTTTTGACTAGCACTACACAACTACTCCGTGGACTACATGAGGGCTCAATTATTCCCTTATTAATCATATCCTCAAGCTCTTTTTCAACCTCCTCAACCTTAGCTATGGGAATCCTACGGGGATGCTGTTTAATTGGAGGATTAAGTCCTGTATCAATTTCATGTTCCACTAAATCAGTCAAGCCTAGATCACCCGACGACTTTGAGAACACATCTTTATATTTTATTAATAAATTTTTTAGGGCTAGCTTTTGGCTCTCCTCGAGATCGACGGACGACTTGTGGTACAATTCCACTAGGTGCTCAGGTATGTCATTATTTTCGGATGAAATTGATTTATTTGTTAATATTTCATTTACATCACAATCGGGGGGAGAAGCCATACACATATCAATGACCTCCATGGTCGCTACAATTGAATTTTTATAAATCTTATGTTCAGCCTCATTTATATTAAGTAAACGAATTGGGACAGTCCCACACTTTGGATTTACTATGCTTTTGGCCAATAAAATATCATGCTTTTGCATAAAATTCTCGGTGGGTTCAATGATTGTGGTCCTCTCATGAGGTTTAGGATCTATCACCCTACCCATAATCATAATTTCACTATTCGGAGGAATCACTATATCTTCTGTCACAGAGACCCTGCAACAACTGTGATTATCTCCCTTTTGATATCTATAACATGGAACTTCATCCCCCTTTATTAATAAACAATTTTTCATAATTAAAATATCTATGTTATGCTTTCGTTAAGAAATCGATCCCAATAATACCAAAATTGGTAATTTTTGAAATTAGAAATTCATGTTTAAAACTATGTGCACCAATAATCACATTTGCAGTACATTTCCCTAGGAATGGTTCTCTTTCCCCAGTAGCAGTGATAAGGTTCAGTTTTACTGGTTCGATATGTACTTCACACATAGTTTTTAGCTTCTGTATGGATTTCTCACAAAGTATGCTAATATTCGCCCCCGTATCCACTAACATTGGGGCATCTAAGTTTTCCACCTTAGTATGCACAAACAAGCCATTATGGTCATTTGAAATGTTACTAATTACTATATCATTTGATTTATTATTAAGTGAGTCATCTATGCGATTCGTCGCACTTTGACTCGCAAGTCCAACAACATTTAGTTTCCCGACCTCCCTGAATTATTGCGTAGGTCTTGGGATTTTTGAGGTGACTGAGGTCTTTCCCAGTTTCTCTTTTGATCTTGGGGGCGGTGGGGTTCACTGGAGTTACCTCCCCTTATTTCCCAATTATTTTCTCTCCTTTGATCCCTTGGCACATAACTATTGCCTCTGGGACTGTCATTGCCTGCCTGATATGGCTTATTTTAATTGTTATTGTTACTACTGCCCCCGTTCCACACATTCCTTTGCCTCGGCGGTTGGTTAAATGCTTTATTGTTACTTAACGTTTGAACCAGCTGTCTAGTCGTGTTGTCCAACGTATTGATTGATCTATTTAGCGTTCTGATATCTAACTCGTATTTTTCAGGCACTGATTGGCTTTGAGAGTGACATACAGAAACAGGCTCCTGACTGATTTGATGCACAGAACGTCCACATTGCCTATCAGCGAGTCTGTGCGCTTCTAACCGAATGGCATGTGTTTCAGCCTCATTAATATCTTTAGGCCGAAGTTCACGTATTCTCAACCTCATGTCCGAGTCTTGGATGGAATCAACAAAATGATCGAGGGCCAAGATGTTAGTGAGCGATGAATCGGCTGTCGGATAAGCCTGCCGTGTTAATTTACGAATGGCCTGGGCTAATTCAGGCAGAGTTTCAGCCTTTCCTCTACAACGAGTCGGGCTCGATACATTTCTGAATGTTCAAGTGAGCCAAATCTAATACTGAGAGTCCTAATGAGAATATTGAAGTCTTTTCTCTCCAGTGGGCTGAGTTCAGTTAAAATAGCTCTGGCATTACCAGTTAAGCTGCTGGCTAATACAAGGATTTGTCATTATAACTCCACCTATTTATGTTGGAAACAATTTCAAACTGGGAAAGGTACTCCTCAAAATCTTCTAAACCGTCATATTGATGGGGTCTCATTTTAACAGAGTGATTATTTTCATGAGCTCTACTATTAAAACGCGGATAACTCACATGGTTATCATTTTGGTTTGATTGTGTAATGGGAGAACTACTTTGAAAATCACCTTCAGGAAATACATCCCTAACCATGCCACTCCCCTCAAGTCTAGCACTTTTACGTAACCCATTAAATTCATGAGACAATGCATCGACATCCTTCTTAATAACATTTATTTCTTGTTTCATTTCGATCAACCCTTTATGGCTCTCACTTCTTAGATATTCCAATTGTTGGCTGATTTGATCTAAGATCGAGTTGTTATTTATCAAAATACTGGGATGGTCGCTTTCCACAGACTGAAGTGATTCATTGGAATTTTGTAATACTATCATTGGTGCCCTCATTAGTCGGGTTTGCTACAGCACTTTTTTTATTATTTATGATAACTTCTGTATCATCAAAAGTCGCCATTATGAAGGAATTATATCACAATAAAACGAAATGTTCTTTTTTTCAGGTGCGTTTGTTGATTATATTTTTATTTATGATTTAACTATTGACTTATTCTCTTGGCACACTAGAGCTGGAGTTTACAATAATAATAAGGGAATTTTGTGGTAGTATCCCACTTCTGACACCAATGTTACGATTCCTCGATTCCCTTAGCGAAGAACGTAAATGGAAATAGGGTTCGCTCCAGTCTAGTGCTATACCAAAAGAATAAGACAAACAACAAGTTAAAAATTAATAAATTTTATTAGGAGGAAAACAATTAATTAATTGTAGGCCTATATATTATAGGTTCTACGGCAAATAAATAACCAAATCGGCAATACCTAAACAAATCATCAAATTGCATAAATTATAAAATATTGGTAGGCAATTATAGTAGTGAACGCCAGATACTTTCTGTATTAAAATAATTAAAAATATGAAGCTGATCATTGACGTTACTGCCCTTTGCTCTAATTGTGGGATTGCATGTTTTTCCGTCCCCAAAGCCAAAAGTGACAAAATAGGGATTTTTCCCCAAAAAGTGGGGATTTACCCACTAGGCCTAACCCACTAATTGATAAAAATGGGGATTTTTCCCCCAAAATGGCAAAAGTGGGTATTTACCCACTAACCCACTAACTGATGAAATGGGGAAGGGGGGGGATTCCCAGGAGTGATGAGAGTTAGGATTTTACCCACTAATTGATGAAATTAATGGGGATTTTTCCCCAAAAATGATGAGTTGTGAGGTTATCTCACTAATGATTAGGAGCTGAAATAGAACCTGTAAAATATACAAAAGGCAAGTAGATCTATATGTTGTTATTTAACGTTGTTGAATTCGGCTCTGGGAGGCCTCGAATTCCGGTCAAAATAAGGCCTACAAAAAGAGACAATCAATATTGACAAATTGACGGGGGGAACTGAGCCTAAGGCCTAGGCCTAACTTGCAAAAAAAAGTTCTATAGGCCTAGTCCAGCTTAAATAATCGCCAGTCAGTGTTCTACCGTTTACCACGGGAATTAATAGGCTGCTATTGACCTACCAATAATGTATCCATGACTTTCTTTAAGGCAAAATGGGCCTAAAAAGTAGTAACCTTAGATTCGACTGCGCCCAGTGACTGCCGGAAACCGAAGTGTTAAACCATAGATAATACCGTATGATTGCCAACTCGCGTGATGTAGCGTACTGGTTCGAGCGCACATTTTTTTGCGCCGGGGGGTTGTTTACTTCCGGTCATAGATAACCATAATAATAATATTGTGATAACGGCCGTCATACAGTAATACTAATAATATTGTGATAGAGTAAAGTATAGACTTATTTACCTTTACTTATTAAGAAGATACGTTATATTTAGTTTTTTTTTGGTACGCATTTTTTATAGTTTTTGTTTTTATAATTAATAGGCAATAGTTAGGCCTATATAGTATAGGCCTATCGCAAATCATGGTAAATAATTGTTGTGTAGTAAATTGTTCTGCTTCTAAAAAAAAAAATGTAGAGGATTATCATTTCATAAAATAAAAAAAAACAACAATAAATTATGGGAGAAGAAGTTAATCAGCATTATAAACAGGATTGATACCAGTTTCAATCCAGAAGCTGCTACAATCTGTTATCGTCATTTTGAGGATAGTTGTTTCAAAGAAAATGGTAAGTTAAATTTTGTAGTTTGGTAAAAAGAAAAAATGATTTTAAAAAACCCCGCAGACTTGGGACACTGGGTGACATGTCATGTAAAAAAACCCAAAAAAATATAGAGATCTAGATTTTAAAATTTAATGTAATAATTTGACAATATTAAAAATTTTGAACTCCCTTCTTATCACAATCATACTTTATTTAGTACCGGTAATAATATTACATAGTGTAATTTAATATGATTGATATTTTACAGAATCAACTGGAAAAAGAGTTCTGTTAGAAAATAGTTTACCTACAAAACATATACCACAAAAGTCTTTCGAAAAGAAAATTGCTCAAAGAAGATCATCTGTTCGTATTTTTCTGTCTCTTTTTTTTAACATAATTGTATTTATACATATACACAAAACAATGTATTGAATATTGGTTGATTGCATTATAGACTAGATATACATCTAACTTCATACAAAGGCCTTCATATTTATTAAACATAATTCTTGTATTGGGCGACGCTTCAGAAAGTGGTCCTGATATGCTAAAAATTAGATATATTAAAATAACACAAAAAACTTATTTTTCCAAAAGAATATATTCATTACCATTTTAAAATACCAAAATGTCATTGATAATACGCAAATTTCTTAAAAAAAAAATTCATGACACAACTGGATTACAATACCCGAAATACCTGTTTTTACCATACTTTATAGAACATGTCCAGAATACTAATTATCTTTTCCAAACAAACTCAAATGTAATCTCTAACAGACTTGGAGTTATGTCTAAAATTTATTAGGTAAAAAATACATAAAAGGAAATTATATTTTTATTTTTTTTGTAGATAATTGGAAATTTCAGGTCAAACATGTAACAATTTGGTAGAACTTTCCTTTCTGATGGATCTTATCATTACCAAAAATCTATATAAGTCTGGACAATAAAATTGAAAATACGAGTGTTTGATTTGTGTTACACATGTAACGTTACGTGTGTGACAAAATTTTAAAAACACAATTTAATATCACTGTTGTATGAAAGTAAAACAAAATATGATTTCAAGTTATTCAACATATAAATTACAATTCATTAACCATGTAAAGTTTTTATTTTAAAATATAATTCCAAGGTACCGGTATTTAACATGTTAATTACAATTCATAACTACTGGTACAAGAAGTCATAGGATGCGTAATACGTTATACTTAATAACTATGACATCATAAGCCAGAGTGATATTATTGATATTTAACCAGTGGGATATTATTGATATTTCACTTGACAAGCATATTCTTTCAACAATGTTAACACATTTAAATTAACCAATAGGTTATGTTTGCAATGTCGAAAACTGTGGATGATATTGAGTTAAAGACTTGGCTCCTTTAATTGTAGCTTAAAAGGATAAATTTGACAACTGAACCTGAAGAATTTAACGAATCAACTCAGACAGTTATCACAAAAGAGATTGTTCTGAATACACTTCGTACCATACCAGGTTGGTTTGTTACACAACATGAAAATGGGGTAGATGTTGTTAAATACAGACATACAGATATGAAGGTATATTTCCCTTTTTTTCTTTGCTGTAAAAGCTTTATGTTTGAACCTGTTGTAAATCAAAATTATCAATGTACATCTAAAGTAGATCTAACAAAATAGTTGGAAGATGTACAGCAGTAATATATTTAACTTAATTTTTATTTAGATATCACATTGTGTGAAAATAGATAATGGAATGGAGTACCAGCTATTTATAGAAGGTATGAACCTTAAAACTATTCATATTAATGAACCATCTATTATCACAAAATCGGAAGATCTAAAAAGAATTATTGAGAAGATTACCATGATAAAACCATGCATGGGTTTCTTTGAAAAAGATCTAATAGATGTATCCGATTTTACTAACCTCAATTACAACAAGGAGGTCGTGATCAACCAACAGATAAATTCTATGCAGACTATGGTCCATAGCGTTAAATGTCTTGTTATTGGGCCAGTCTGCATAGAATGTAAAAAAACAAAGAATATTCTAAAACAAAAAAAAAACAGATTAGACATTGCTAGAAAAAGAACAATAAATTTTAACAAAAAGACACCTTTAGTAAAAACGTCAAAAGAAAAACTATCAAAAGCCTTAAAAGATATTCGAGTAAAAAATAGTAGATTGGAAAAAGAATTAAGGACCATCCAAAAGAGATTAAGAAATGAAAGCGAAGAAGTTTCTGAACAATTACATGACAGCTTATTAAATATTATGAATAAAGAAACAATTTCAAACCCTTTTCTGGACTTGTTTTGGAAGGAACAAAAAAATTTTTTTAACAGAAAGTCTTCTGGGAAAAGATGGCACCCAATGATAATAAGATTAGCTATTCTGTTACACACTCAATCCCCCCAAGCTTACAGGTCATTAAAACAAACTGGACTTTTGCATCTACCCGGAGAATCGACACTGCGGGATTACAGTAATGCTATAAGTCCAACTCATGGTTTCAATCCAAATGTAAGTAGATCTTAATTTGTTATTTATTTGAAAAAATCAACTTTGTGTCTTACCAATTACCAAAGCATTCATTACAATTAAATATATGGTGTATCAAGGATGTGGCCACATAATTTTGATGAAACTTAAATTTATGATTATATAACAAAGATCTTGGTTCCTTTGATAATGGTGCATATATCCGAACGTAACTCCCTGGATTATGACCCTGTTACACATCAATGAAGGTTGAGTTCGAAGTTAGTAAAAATCTGACCCAAATCTTTAGAAATACATCATTTTACATACAACATTTTGACGCGATGTTTTTAATCTCTTTGCGAATATTGGCTCTACTGGACAATTTCGCAAAACCCAGATACAACCATTTGACTCCCCACAGACGATATGTTACATACTGCTTTCATAAAAATTCAATTAATTTTTTTAGGTGATTAATGATCTGAAAGACATGGTTAAAGACCTGAAAGATAATGAAAGATGGGTAGTTTTGATTCATGATGAAATGACTATCAAGTCTGATTTAGTATGTATGTTTTATATAGTACATTGACAATAGTTATTAATTTCACATTTTCAATATTAATGTGACAATTTTCTACATAATTGTCTATGCAGGTATATAACCCAAGATCAGGAGAATTATGTGGCTTCATACCTGATGGAAGTAAGGTAGCTAGTCATGTTCTAGTTTTCATGGTTGTAGGATTAACAGCTCCTCGTGAATGGCCAATAAGATTCAGCCTTGGTTATTTTGGTACATGTTCAGCAAGAGCTGAAGACATATACCCTTTGTTTTGGGAAGCAGTTTGTCATTTAGAAATTACCTGTAAACTAAAGGTTTATAAAAAAGATACATTTATTAATTTGAGCAATTAATAGTTTGTTAAAGTAACTGTGTGTGATTCACATTTTTCAGAAAATATTAAGTTTCTCATGACTTAATCCTTGCTTATTATATATACAATGTAATCAGATTATTTTACATTTAATCAAGAAAAAAGAAAAGTAAAGTGTATCATTTACATAGGTAATCCGGGAGCAACATAGATCAATAGAATTTCAGTTCATTGTCAAACTTTTTTTACAGTGTTTCGATTAGACCTAATCCCACTAAACGGAATTGCACTTTTTTTGATTGATATTCCTATTAGAATACTAAAATAAAACTAAATAAATTTGACAATATTGTTGTTTGCAAGAGATTCCTATTTCTATAAAATCACTACAGAAACTTTAAATTTCAATACTTTTAAAATTACTAGTTCTGTATTTGTTTTTTTAAATCTTTGTTTATTTTTCTTTTGTAAATGTGCTGTGAGATGTTATTATGTATCATGGTTATACTTTTATTATTCAAAGTTGATGGTTTTGACTTTGACCATTTATTTAATTTGTTGTTTTTATAATTTTACAACTTACGAAATATGTTTTTTGTATATTTAACATAAATATAACAACCAAACTGTTAAGTAAGCTAAATAATATGTTTTCGTCTTGTAAACAGCATTTATTGTATTGACAATTCATTTTGCATATTCATAAAAATAGCAACAAAACAAGTAGAGTTCAATAATATGTTTTCATTTTATAAAAAGCATTTATGGCATTGACAATTTATTTAATTTTTTGTTTTTATCATTTTAATACTTATTTAAAATGTTTGTTTTTTTATTAAAGATTAATATAACAACAATACTTTTAAGTAAAGCTAAATAACATGTTTTAATTTTATAAAAAGCATTTATGGTATTGACAATTTATTTAATTTGTTGTTTTTATCATTTTAATACTTATGAAAAATGTTTGTTTTTTTTATTAAAGATTAATATAACAACAATACTTTTAAGTAAAGCTATATAACATGTTTTAATTTTATAAAAAGCATTTATGGTATTGACAATTTTTAAAATTTGTTGTTTTTATCATTTTAATACTGATGATGTTTTGAAAATAAATTATTGTGCTTCAGTTTGATTAAATACATTTCATTTTTAACCTGCAAAAATATTATTACAGGTATTGGCTTCCACCTCTGATAAAGCATCGCCTAATCAAAGGCTTATCGATATGCATCGAGAAGATAAGGAAGCTATTTACTCTACAAATAATATTTTTGCTCGGGAAAGACAAATTTATTTTGTATCAGATGTACCCCATTTGTTGAAAACGCTAAGAAATAATCTTGCCAACTCAGGATCTGGACTGAAGACACGTTACCTTTGGGTTTGTACTTTTTGAATTATTATATTTGCTATTGAAATGTATAATCTTAAATAATTTGTAAAATAGAAACATTTTTTATAATTATGGAAAACATCTTTTTTTAGAATGATGGCAAACATCTTTTATGGTCCCATGTCAGACAAGTATTTATGGAAGACAGCAAATCAGAATTACGAAGAACAAAACTGACCCCTGCTCATGTAGATCTCTATTCGTATTCTGTAATGAAAGTTAATCTTGCTGCTCAGGTAAGAATATTTTATAACTTTTGTGATTAAAAGTATTGTGCAAGCAGAAATAAATTTCTATTGTGAACTTTTAGAAAGATTGCGATACAGAAGTGTTTTTTTCACTACTGAATGGAATAATACTTTAGTAAAATATATAGTAGATCGCTACCAAGTACTGGTATTTTTTATGACTTATTTATCAGGTAATGAGCAAAACGGTCAGTAGTGTTATGAAGGCATACATGACAGAAGATACCTGGGAGACAGCTAACTTTATAGAAATTGTTGACAGACTTTTGAATGCCTTAATGTAAGATCAAAGTCAGAAGGTAACAGGGTTCAAAAAACTGATTTAATGCCATATACAGATGTTGAAGATAAAAGATTTGAGGCAAGTATTTTTTTTTTTTTTTTTTTTTTTGTAGTGGGGGGAGGAGGAGATCGCCTGCTGGTCTAGAGTGATGCACATCTTGTCTGCATGTATCATCATAAGTACCGTACCGTCCTGTGTATGTGTGATGTTCATAACTGATAACCATCTTTGGCAGCATAATCCTTATTTATTTCTGTTTGTTTTTTTTTTACAGTTTCTGTTAAATGATGCATTAGGCTATTTCAAAAACTGGAAATTTTCTGTTGAAAATAGAGAAGGCTTCGGCACATCGGAAAAATCGAAAATGTTTATTTCAGCGCAGACATATAAAGGCCTTTTTGTAACAAGTAAGCATAAAATATTGTTATCATATGCATATGCATGGCCATCTTAGTAAATTCTATAGTAGAAGCTACACATTAACTGTTATGTACAGATATAATACCAACAATTTTATTTTAGTAAATTCTGTAGTAGAAGCCACCAAGTATCTCTTGTCTTGTGGTGTCAAAGAGGTGTATACCAATTCCTTTTGTCAAGACCCTTTGGAGTCGCATTTTGGAAATCAGAGGTTTGGCAAGGAGAAACGACAACCCGACTTTATATGCATTTGGGTAAACATAATATATTTATTTTTACTGCCAATTTCGAGAATTATTAAAAATTGTCTGTCTTTGTTCAATTAAATTCAAAATAAAAGTAGGACATTAAACCCCATTAAGTTTGTTCATTGATTACATTTACATTGTTAGGATATTGTTATTTAGTCCATTCTTTATAATTTGATAGATACCAGGAAAACAAGATTAGACTTCAAAGAAACCTGTCTATTCTCTTTCAATCTAATAAGGGAAATATTGAGAAAGAAAGTGGTTCCATTAAAATAAATGCACAACCTCTGAAAAAGAGGAAACTGTGGTGAGATGTTTGACTTTTTATGCAAATAAATTAGGATTATCTACACATGGTAAAATTGCAATATTACACTTCTATATATTTATGAAATATGTAAACGATATAATCAGTGAATACTGTCATTTTACTCAATTGAAATACTAAACATTTTGTTAGATTGGATATATCTGTTACATTTTTTTTTTTCAGATATTTGCACAGAGATGATTTAAATCGAAAATGTCGACAATTACTAAAAAAAATTTATTACATAAAAATACACACCACAAGCACTATATTGAAATGCTTGGTTATATGATAATGTTCAGACAATTTCATAATAAATAAATAAAGATTGCTGTTAAAAAAATTATGTCATATAATAAATAAATAAGGTACTTCTCATAGAATACATGTATAAATATGCTAAATTGTTGGATGATGACATGAGTAGAATTTATAGTTTTTTTAATGTTTTTCTAAGACCTTTAGACTTTTTCAGTTTCAATTTTTCAATACTAATTTTACATCTATGATGTATTCTTATATTAAAAAATAATTTTACTATATCTATTAAAATAAGATGTTGGATTTTATCATCAATAATTGGTTTATCAAAACAGTTTAAAAAATCTTGTTTACATTCAAATGTGCATTTTTTAATGAATTCATCTTTATCTACTTTGGTCGATAAAGGTGTAAATATCCCTACAAAATTCTTTTCCAATCTAATTAATAATTTAAGAAAATGGCCATTTATATATTTTAACCCCCCTCTGTCCTTTAATTTAGTTAATTTGATAAATGCAGCTTGCCCCCCATCCACATTGCATGCAAGCATATGAACACATTCTTTTTTTTCAGCTTGCACATATCTAGAAACAAGTTTATTAATAATCCACCCCCCAATATACGCAATTATTTCAAAGTCTTTTTGATCAAGGTTTGGTTGGGAAATTAAATTAGCTTCAGCGGATATAATAATTCTATTTCAGAAAAAAGAAAAAACTTTTAGAGTAAAAAAAGGAAGTATTAGTTTAGGTATGAACGAAATAGTTTTATGTTCTAAAATAGATAGGCCTAAATGATATTTCCTCCAGGAATCTTGTTTATTAATTGATTGGTAGGAGTTCAAAAAGGCAACTTCATCCTTGATATCTGCAACTGAAAAATACAAAGATAATATTATAATAAATATAGCATTTACTTGACAATTATCACAATTTTTATCTGGCCCTAAATCAAGTTAGTGCAAACTTTGTGCTTGGAACTCTCTGGATTTGTGTTCCTGGTGTTATAAGCTTTCCAAAAATGTATAGTTTGTTTATTAGGGAAGATTTTGTAGCGGAACTTCACGCTAGAATTTTTTTGGCTGCAGGCCTATTTTCAACAGTATGGAGACATACTTTTGGTTTTCAAATACATGTAAGTATTTTTATACTCCCACATTTCCATGTGGATTGTGGACATTTGAAAATAAAATATTGTTTTCTCGTCCATCATATTAAATTTTAAAATTTCATTCAAAGCATTAATAATGTCAGTATTGTTGATTACTTGTGTATCCTGTAATATAATTGGGCAATACAAAAAATATATATCCTGTGCCAATAATCTGGGTTTATTTTATTTTTGTGTTTTTATTTTGTGAAAGGATTACTACTGGACTAAATGACTTTTCATGGCCATCAAATTTTAAGGCACTACATGTAGATTTATCTCATCATATTGCTTATATAAATAGGACTATTTGATTACCCAGTATCATCAATGGCATTACATTTATTAGGTTTTCATACTTGACAAATTAACCAGTGGATCCATTAAAATATTTTCATAGAGTTACTTCCTGTAACTTGGGTAAAATATTTATGTGGTGTAGTCAACAAGGTCTTTTTAAGTGGGGAAGGATTATCGAAGAACCAGAATATTTTTTTTATATGCCCCAAATAAAATTTAACAGTTAAAGATGCATTATGTAAGAGGTAAATTTGGCCTCAAATGTTGTATAAATAAATCATTAATTAGACATTTATTCACATGCAAAGCCTATAATCAACTCTCTGTATCATCAGATGGTTGTTATTTGAAACTGATTTAAACATGATTTCCATTTAATAATTTAATTAAGAAAATGGATAATCATAACAAGGGTAGAAATGACAATCAAAGCCACACTATTCTTCAAACAGCCATAACTTCATTCAGAATGTAGTAACTTGATTGAAATTTTTAACATACCAGTATTCCCTTTTCATTATTTATTTTTTTAACTATTATTATACTGAAAACAGTCATCTCTTTATCTAAATCGTCAATAATGCATCTTTAATTAACAATAATTTTACGATAAATTAATAATAATTGTGTTTTTGAATAAAGAGATCAATGTTAATGTTACGTAGTTAAATGAATAATTAGACTATTTTAAAAAGGCACCTTATTAATATTATTAACTTCCACCAATGCTGACTCTTCCTCAAATTCTTCCTACAATTTACAATTCATTAAATGATGAGATTAAATTATTTACATCAAAAACTTCAATAGCCTTATTTTATAATATATTATTAAGATTAAATTATTTAATTAAAACAAAAATGTAGTTTATATTTCTAATGGTTAGGCTAATTTACTTACATTGAACAGAAACTCCATATCTTTAAACACAAGGTCAATATCAGCATCATCCTCATCATTGATTTTACTTATACTTATATCATTATTACTACCACCAGTATCTTCTTCCTTTAAAGATAAAAAAAAATATTATTTTAAAAATTAATGAATTGAAAACTCTGTGTTGACGGTACTAAAAGTAGGTCACGGCTGTCAAAATTTCTCTACTACGAGGTCTAAATACAGTAGTAGTAGTACTAGACTAGTCTCGAGATACAAGAGCAAATACCAAAAAAAAAAGAAAAGATATTTTATTCTTACCTCGAACATCGCTTCTATTTCTTGGTTCCATCATATATAATACTGTATGATTGCCGACTCATGAATTCTCGACGTTATGTTGCGAAACGCTTGAAACGGCGAGAAAGGTGGTTGATCACTTCCGGTCTTCTGTTCTCGCTGTTTGTTTACTATAGGCCCAGTAGCGATATTTTTATTTAGCGCTTTCTTGTAGTATTAAATGTGGCATCATCTGGTTAAATGGTAACGAGAAATAGAAGCAATGTTCGAGGTAAGAATAAAAATGAATATCTTATAATTTTGATATTATATTGTATTATAAATAAGTATTACATTTCATGAAAATCTCGACACGTGTGTTGTCCAGTTAAGGCAAAGTTTGACAGCTTTGACCTACTTTTAAAAATCGGCAAAATAGAGTTTTCAATTCATTAATTTGTAAAATAATACTTGCAGATCATTAATAAATCGTAAATATATAAAGTACAGTTTGGTATGAATAATAACATTGCTGTGTTGGCTATATATAAGCTTTTAATTACACAATTTTTAAAAATCTTTTGTATTTTCAGCAGAACGTACTGGTACCCGTCTTTTGTTTGCTACCTAGGGGCCTAGGGGAGTGCCAGCTTGTGAAGCAAATATATTTCATGTTGATTTATTGTGATACTGATAAATAATTGTATGTTTTATTGTCCCCCGCCTTTCGAAGAAAGCAGGGGACTATTAAAATGGGTTCGTCCGTCTGTCTGTCCGTCCGTCCGTCCGTCCGTCTGTCTGTCCGTCACACTTTTTGGGACACAATAACTCTCTTCCTAATTGAGCTAGAATGTTCAAACTTGGTGTATGTGTTTATTAGGCCAATGCCTTGATGGAGTTCGAAGATGAGCATTTTCCGCTTAGGGTAAGCAGAGATAAGCAATTTGATTGGTTGATGCTTTGGGACACGATAACTCTCTTCCTAATTGGGCTAGAATGTTCAAACTTGGTGTATGTGTTGATTAGGTCAATGCCTTGATGGAGTTCGAAGATGAGCATTTTCCGCTTAGGGTAAGCAGAGATAAGCAATTTGATTGGTTGATGCTTTGGGACACGATAACTTTTAATTGAGCTAGAATGTTCAAACTTGGTGTATGTGTTTATTAGGTCAATGCCTTGATGGAGTTCGAAGATGAGCATTTTCCGCTTAGGGTAAGCAGAGATAAGCAATTTGATTGATTGATACTTTGGGGCACGATAACTCTCTTCCTAATTGAGCTAGAATGTTCAAACTTGGTGTATGTGTTGATTAGGTCAATGCCTTGATGGAGTTCGAAGATGAGCATTTTCCGCAGAGATAAGCAATTTGATTGGTTGATGCTTTGGGACACGATAACTTTAGTTCTAATTAAGTGAGATTGATGAAACTTGGTGTATAGATTTATTATATGAATACCTTAACTAAGTTCGATAATGAACATTTTTTGCTGAGGGTAAGCAGAGTGATAAGCAATTTGATTGGTAGAAACTTTGGAACACAATAACTCTCCTTCTAATTGAGGTAGAATGTTCAAACTTGGCATAGGTGTCTATTAGGTGAATGTTTAAACTTGATGTATATGTAGATGTTCATTAGGTGAATGTCTTGACTGAGTTCAATAATTAACATTTCGAGCTGAAGCTAAGCAGAGCTAATCGATTTCATTTGTCGATGGTTTGGGACAAGATAATCTTGATTCTATCTGATAGAGAGTGATGAAACTTAGTGAAAAAAATAAATGTGCGATTAATTAATATGTGTCATCTATTTATTTTGCAATTTCGGCGGGGGACATCAGCCTCACTGTTGGCTTGTTTATGTTATTTACTTCTTTTCATATTGTGTGTGTGTGGGGGGGGGGGGGTATAAATATTGAGACACTAGACATTAATATATTGATAAAGTATTTTATTTTATGTATCTATTTATTTATATTTTTTTTTTTTTTTTTTTTTTTTTCTTTTTTTTTGGGGGGGGGGGGGGAGGGGGGGGGGGATATTATTATTTTCATTATTTTATTTGTTTTATTTTAATACTCAACAAGGGATTTGTTTAAATTGTTTGATTGTATTATATCATTATTGATTTTAATTTTGTATAGTTGAATTAAGCATAATTATTTAATTTTATGTATTTCAAACATCAGAAAATAAACCATTCAAGCTATGTGTAATGTGTTTGTATGGTTATGTTGATGGTTAAATAGGTTGAGAATTGAAGCCAAATGACCAATTTTCGCGTAAAAGGGATCTGCCAGTTGGTGTTACAATGCTGAGATGTATGGCTTTTCAGGAAATAACACGGTTCTGGAGAAAAATTAATATTTAAAAATAGCTGCCGGTCGATATTTAAGGATATGGGTTTACTGTTCCATGTAATTAAATTAATCATTAAAAATATAACCTACAATTTTTGTTTCAATTAAATAAGTTAATCTTAACAATAATATTAGGCTATTGCATATTTTGATTTAAATAATTTAATCTTATCAGTTGAGGAAGAAAGAGTTGGTATTTCAATCTAATAAGGTGCCTATAAATTATATAATTAATCATCCAATTATGTAACATTAACATTGTCTGATCGCTTTATTTAATAATACATTTATTAATTTATCATAAAAGTATTGTTAATTAAAGATGCGTTTTTAAATGTTAAACAGGCATGATGTAAGAGCTAAATCTGCTTATTGCAGGTCTTTCTTTGGGCCTTAATGTTATGTAAATTATCAATTAGACATTTATTAACATGAAAAGACCATAATCAACTCTCGATGCCATCTGATTGCTCAGATTTTAAATAGATTAGAACGGTATGGTGGTAAATTTTCAATATATTCAATTTGCATTATCTATTTTTGAAATGTTATAGTTAATAACGAGAACGACCAGCCCTTTATCTAAATCTTACATAATTCCCCTTCAAATTTATGTCTATTGTTATTGTTTTATTTAAATTTAGGACATAAAGAAATATATTTTGGTTCTCGCTTGGATGACGTGTTTTAATTTTTTTTTTTTTTAAAAAAACCCTAACAAAACAGTCTTGTTAATTACCCCGGTTACACGAAGTAACTCTGTAAAAAAATTTGACTAGATCTATAGGCTAATTTGTCAAGTATGCAAACAAGTTAAATGTTAATGACATGAATGATATTGGATACCGTAATCATATATTCATATAAACAACATGATGAGATAAATGTAGTACCTTACAATTTTTAAAAACTCATCTGTTACAAACAAGTGATAACTTAGAGCTAAAGACTTCGTGTAGGTATGTTTTGCCAAGCGCTATGAACACAATTTTTGCGGAATTTTGGCGCTATAGAAATGGACGTTAATTATATTTATTTATTTGGTTCTTCTGGAAAAATACATACATCTATTTAAACACCAAAAGTACTTGGCTGTACTGTTCAAAAGCTTATAGTTCCAAATTTTTAAACAAAACATCTTTCACATGATTTAATTAGCTATTTATTTTTATATCGAAGCCCGAAGAACAGGAAATCAAATTGGTGTGGCCAACATTGAAATTTCAGATATCAAGGATGAAGTTGCCTTTATCAACTCTTGTAAATCTTTTAATGTACAGGATTCCTGGAAGAATCTATTTTAGAACAAAAATTCCTTTTCATTGATAACTAAAGCAATAATTCCTTTTTTATTTAATACTAATAGTGTTTTCTTTTTCCTTATATATAATTGTTATATCTACTGAAGCTAATTTAATTTCTCAACAAAGCCTAGATCAAAAAGACTATGAAATAATTGCTTACATTGGGGTGGATTTATATAAGTAAACTTTTTTTCCAGTTGTGCAAGCTGAAAAAAAAGTATGTGTGTATTTTTTTTGGGGGGGGGGGGTCTGCATTTATAAAATTAACTAAATTAAATGACAGAGCGTCAGAGGGACTTAAAATAAATAAATGGCCATTTTCTAAAATTATTAATTAGGCCTAGATTGGAAAAGAATTTTGTAGGGATATTTACATCTTTATCAACTAAAGTATACAAACAAAGCTGAATTTATTTTAAAAAATGCACATTTGAATATAAACAAGATTTTTAAAACTGTTCTAATATACCATGCAATTGATAATAAAATGCAACATCTAATTTTATTAATCATACTATAGATAGGCCTATACCGTAGGCCTGTGTGTGGCACAGAGGTGCGGGTTAGTTAGCTCGCAATATAACCTTTTTCCTTTGGCAAATTAAATTGTAGAACATTTTTTTTGAAGTATTAGAAAAATAAAAATAAAGGTGTTTGAAGTATTATCTCTATATCAAAA